CCAAAATTTGAAAATGTTTTCTTTTACATGGTGTTTGGTGGAGCAATAAGTTTCAAAAATGCCCAAACAAAAGAGAGTAAAAAAGCCTATTTAAGAATACGAGGAGGAAAAGAGATCCAAACTAGAGTGCAATGCTCCATATATTTCCATTAAAAACATGTTGATGCTATCCCTATACTATACTGTAATAGTTATTTCCTTAACATAATTTACCAGTGACGTTGCCTCAACTGAAATCTTTTATCATGACGGACTATTTTCTTCTTACCTTTTTCAATTTTGCTCTGAAAAATGACGCCAAAAGCTGTAATCATGCCCAACTTACAAGATGCTTTTTCGTCTTTTATCATATTTATTCATTTATTAACAAAACAAAAAACTGTGAAAATCCTCTTGGTTTAATAGATGATCAATGGTTAACTAATACTTTTACATTTAAAAGTCAGGGGTTTGATTCTCAGATAATACGATTTATTAAGGGAATTTTGCTAAATTAACTCACATTGAATTAGTGTTTTACAAAATAACATTTGCCTTTTTTGTACTAACTTTTTCCTATATTACCCTTTGATTAATATTGGAAAATACAAAAAAAATAGTTTTTTTATAATTTTATAAAATCAGGAAAATAGAAATAGTAATGTACAACGTATATAGATTCATGTTTTATTTTTTTTCAAAAAAACTATGACAGAAAATTATTTATTTTTCTTTCTACCATGGTCGAATCTACTAGTAGATAAGGTGTTCTGCGAATTTGTATCATTCTACGAGTGGTAGAAATAAGTATTCTACTAATTGCTCAAGTTCTACATATCGCAGATTGCACATTCTACCATTTTGCTTCAGTACTACCAGTCGCAGAATGCTATTTCTACCAATGTCTTTGTCTTCTACGCCACGTAGAATGCATATTCTAATCCTTCTATCTACCTCTTTATCTATCTTTTACCAAATGGTAGAAAGTTTATTCCACCAAAGGTAGTTTAAATCCCCTAAATCTAGGACCATTAGTTATTTACTTTCCAAAAAATATTTTATTCGGTATTTACTTTCCAAAAAGCGTAGATTTTTCCGGGAAAAACATATTTGATTTTTTT